TCTAGTGGTGGTGGTTTTGGTGATGTTTGGTTGTGATTGGATCTAGTGAGATTGTAATGTTTGGAACGGTGACTTTGTTGGAGGCAGAGGTTTTGTTGGATGTAATGGTAGCTGTGGTTTTTTTGATCGTGGTGGTGGTGGATCTTGGTGATGGTGATGGTGTTGAGATGTTGGTGGCGAAAGGTCTGTCGAGGTGGTGATGGATCGGTGCGACGACGTGGTGGTATTTTTTCGCGATGTGTTGATTTGTTTAAGGTGGTGGTATTGCTGTCGCGAGGTGGTAGTGGTGGTTCTGGCGGCGACGGCGACAGTGGTGCTGTTAGAGGGAATGATGCGGTGATGGTGACAAGTGCTAGTTGTAATCACAAATTATTTAGTTGATTGTGACTATTAAATTGGTTAATTTATGACCAATGAAAAAGATAAATTGTGACAAAAAAAATTGTGTAACCTAAAAAATTGTTAATTTGTGATTGATAATTTGACAATTTGTGACTGTCCACTAAGTTGTGACTTATAATATTTGTGATTTGTGAGCTATAAATAATTTCTGACATTTCAATTTTTGATTTGTGAGTGATGATCAAATTGTAACCGTAAAAAAAAATTTGTGACATATAAAATTTGTGATTTGTAACCAATGAATAATATGTGACTTGTTAATTTGATAAATTTGTGATCGATGAATAAATTGTGACGTATAAATTTTTGATTTATGACCGATGAACAAATTGTGACCTATAAAATTTTTTATTGTGATATCGAAATAATCTGTGACCAATAAATAAGTTGTGACCTATAATTATGTACATGTGACCATTAATTATATAATTGTGAATTTATTATATTTAAATAATTATTATTTTTAATTAATTAACTAAATAATTGAGTTCTGTATTTTTTAAACTTAATACCTGATTTTTGCAATTGTGAGACTTAATGTCTGATTTGTGAACTTTTCCCTTTAAATAACGCAAAACTGGTTTAACGGACATGAGATATGTTGTCCAGCATAGATAGTTGAGGGATAAATTTAAAAACCAACCGTCGATGTGATACCACCACATGTTATCATATCGATGAGTGGCTATATAACTCCAATCCACTTTGGACAGGAGATCAATTATATTAAACAACAAGTATCTTACATTTTATGTAGGGGACGCCCTAAAGATGTGCAAGTGGTACAACCACCTATGATCTCAAAATTATAGGCGCATCTAAATTATAATTATTTATATATTTTATATTAATTGTTTATTTAAAAAATATATGATTTATTGGTCAGGATATAGGGCGAATATATATGAAAAAGGTCACAGAAAGAATTATAATATTTTATTAACATTTTTTTTTTTTAATTTGACATATTGAGAAACAAAAACTAATAATTTAATTTATCTAGTTAATGGCTAAATATTGACTATATTTATATTTTGATTTACACTTTGATTAATTAGATGGATCAAATTCAATCGTGAATAGATCTAGCAAAAATTAGCCCCATATGTAATGTCTCAATTAATTGATACATAATCATAAAAGTTTCAAAATTCATTTTTATAAATAACAAATTTGTGGAATTTTTTCAAAAGTTAGATGATCACATTTTGTGACCTCTAATAAAATATTATGATTTATAATTTAATTATATTATATCACAATATTACAAAAATATGTGGCCATAGTCACAGAAATACAATTTGTGGGTTACAATCACTTTCATCTCATCCTATCCCTGCCCAACCATCATCATCATCACCTAAAAACGTCGTCGCCACCTCAGATCCACCGCCCACCACTACCATCGCCTCCAAGACACCACCTGTACTTTCATCTTAAATACATCACCACATCTACAGTCGACATCCTCGCAAAGCCAACTGTACTGCAGCATCATTGTCTTGCAACAATTGTGATTTCGCTTGATTTACAGCTTTGTTGGGGGTTGTGTGTGTGTGTGTGTGTGAGAGAGAGAGAGAGATTGTTTTGACGGGAAAGAAGATATTTAGGGTAGGATAAGCCGCTTGGAGTGGGGTGTAGTGTCCCACGAACAAATCCTACTTCCTACTATATTAAAAATGGAATTTTTGGGTTATTGTAGTCTGTAGATGCAACATTAACCAATGAGATGTTATTGTTCATTTTCTCAGTTTTCACACCTCCAGTTCTCCAATTTTATACCACATCATTTTTTCCCAATCCGCTATAAAAATGATGTCAGACTTTGAATAGTTAGGTATTTATTCCTGCATTACTCTTTATTCTCGCCCATATATTTAAAATTACTACAATATAACCAAAAGAAAATGACTATTCACATGTGATATCAGAGATTATCGAATAGGACAACATTTCCAACTATTATTTCATTAATGAGCATGCAAAAGCTAACATGATGAATTGAA